GTCCTTGAACAACCGTTGACGGTCAGTACATATATACACTACAAACGGCCAGGCACATTGGCCGCCGAACAATCCAGTACTACGCTCATAGCTGCAAGCCCGCCAACAAGTTGCGAGCAATCTGGCAGATGGCTGCCACATAGTGGACATGAGCATTGACAGATGAACGACTGTTCAGAACCAAGCTGGGGTCAAAGATCCAGCGAAGCAACTCATCATCTCCAAACTGAGGAACGCGCTGTAACCCCAGACGAGTGAGCCAGTGACGCCGTTGCGAGGCCAGCAATGGACAAGCTCGAATTGCGTGAAGCAGGTTGCACTGGTCACCACAAAGGCACAGAGAGTCCGTCCTGTGCGAATGACGGGCGCTCCTACCATCCGTAAATGGGTGATGGCCACACCGGGCCAGGGTCCACTCTCGGACTGCGGAGATGGGGAGCCCGGAGGAGTGTATGCTGACCAGGCAATGCAATCGAGGCTGATAGACCGCATAATTGGCCAGCGAAGGTACTGCCAGCAATTCTGCGCGGTAACTCGCATGGGCACGTTGCTGCAAGGTCTGTACAACCTGATGCCTAGTCCACTGCCAGACACGTCGAAGACCCGATCCCGGGAGCACCCCGTACGATACCCCACGATATCCCACGATATCGCACGACATCGCACGACATCGCACGCATCGCACGCATCGCACGATATGGTCACAAATTGCACGCATCGCACGCTATCGCATCATCGCAAAACCATGCACGCCTCAAGTGTGCAACATCCTTAGACCCATTTCTTCTTCGCCCACCTCATAGGACTCGCCACTAGGCGTCCCGGTGAAGAAGACACCGGCCTGGCATTTGCCGCCCACTGAGGTAATGTGTGCTTCAGGGGTTCATGCCGGCCCTGGAGGCGATTTCTTTTTGGTTCAGGACTTTCGGTCAGCCCCTCTACTGTGTGTTGGTGGTCGGTTGGGGTTCGGGTTCGCCGCCCCATCCTCAACCTCCGACAGACGATTCACCCATGGGGTATGGCCTGGTAGCAACCCAAATCCAAGTACCGGACGATCAACTGGGTGTCTGGGTGAAGGGCCACCTTGATGCAGGTCAAAATGAGATGTGCCCACACTGAATGGCGCCCTTTCTCCAGGTCGAGCCACACCATGACATCCCACACTGCCGCTGATGAAGCCCCAGCTTCCCTGGTGCCTCATCCCGACCTTAAGGGCCACGTCTCTTCGTTTTTGCGCTGCGTGCGAAATCTGCAAAAGCCCTGGTTGCACAGCGCTGTGACGCGGCACCTCTGCAGCTTCGCAGTGGCAGACGCCGGTGGGCCCATCAAAACTATAGTACGCCTCACGAAGGAGCGATCTGAGTGATGTCGATACACTTACACTGGTTCGTGTACTAGATCGTGTCGTGATGAACTGGGTCCATGTTCTTGCTTGGGCGCAGCTCCAGGCACGGAGGAGCAGGACTCCTGGCAACGACGGACGTTCTCCTGAGAGGAATAAAGGTTTGAGATGCACGTGTTCAGAAGATCTCCATCAAACCAGCCATGCGTCGGCAAAGTGCGGGGCCACTCCGGGCATGTCCAAGGGCAGGTAGGCCACCCCATGTTCATCACCTCATGCTCATGTCACACCGAATCATACCCCCTCCTAAATAAACATCGTTATGCGGCCGAGCTGCATCGCTCGGCTGATGCAGGCTGCCTCGCGGCCTCTTCGGGACATCAGCCAAGGCCAAATCAAAGCTGATGTAACCGAAAAGCTCGAAAACGGATCCGGAACCGCATGAAACCGGACGCCTTCTGAACGAGTTAGCTACGCCCCCGAAAGCCCATCGGCACTCCAGAGATCTGACAGAGTCTCACCTGCGTCCCCTGCACACACCCACCTCCAAAATCGCTGTGGAGCGCATCTTGTCCGGTGAGTGCAAAGACGTGCCCGCCTGGCATCCAGCCATCACGGAACTTCACACGACCTTGTATGTCACTCCGTGAATACTCCGCAAGTCCATGCTACGCCTGCCTGGTGTCTTGCCCGAACGAGGTGTAGCAAGTGTGCATCATTCTCCTCTGTCAGTTCAACCAAAGTCTTGCCAAAGCCCCGAAAAAACTGGTGGGGCAACTTCCGGCCTCACCCAACTCACAAGGTCGGTAGCAATTCGGGTCACCGCGCTGCCACAAACTCCTTGGGACATCGCTTTGCCATCAAACTTTGCCCGCTTGCCGCTATCCAGCAGGGGTTTCGAAGCCTTGTGAGGTGGATGGGACGAAAGGTTCAAAAGAGAACTCAAAGACCTCAAAAATCAGCAGGCCAGGTCCTGCTGAACACAAAAAACGTTGAAAAGCTCACGGTCCTATAAAAATGTTTTCGCGCATTCAAACAAGGCACTTGACTGATACCTCACTTGTTCCAGGACTAGCAAACCCTTGGACAACATTAAAACACTGACGAATACACTGATACAAGATCTCTGCATGGACTCGAGGCGCTTGGCCAGATCTCGCTTGCTGGAGCGAGCCTCGTGGTTGAGAAGCTTGAGCTGATCACTGCAGCAAAGCTGCAGTACATGCACTTCTCTGTGCAAAAAAGTCTCCGTAAGTTCCGGGTACCAGCCAGGATGCTGAATCAGCTCCACCTGTTTCTTGTTTGTGCGCCACACCAACTTCATGTCTCCAAGCTTTTCTTTGGCCAACGACAAAGGATGAGCCTGCTGAAGCCAGTCCACGCGCAGCAAGCACAGAGGCTGCAGCCGCAACTGCAGGCAGGCCACGCCCTGGGAATGCTGCAGATGATAAGATTGCACGCCGACCCATTTCCCTGTTAACTACGCATCCCCCCCCCCTACCACCCCACCCCTCTCTCCCAGCACTTCTTGTCAGGAACTGCCTTTGCAAAGGCTGAAATTCAAAGGCTGAAGCCCTGCTGCCGTGTTGCTTTGCACGGTCGTGAGCAGCCATTTTCTGGCAGCAGGTGCAGCAGCGCCTCAGATAGCAAAAACGTCCGAAACAGATCTGCAACACACAGGCAATGCGCAGACGCAGGTTATGCTGGGCGATGAATGCAAGCACAGAAACCTGAAAGCTTGAGAAGTCTGAACCGGAGGAAAGGCCAGGGTACCTGGGTTGCATCATGTTCCATCAAACACTTTCGGAAAGGGCTTGGGAAATGAGTTCCTTCAGCTTCCCTCAACCTGCGCCAAGGTGCCACTTCGGATGCTCATAGATGCCGTGGCTCATGGCGTAAAGCCTGGGGCAACACATCCCTACATCTCTCAAAATCACATGCAGTCCCACTGTGGTCACTGGTCCATTGATTTTTTGTTGCTTCGAGGCAGGAAGCACGTGGCTGAAGCACTCCGTTCCCTGTTCCGCATTGCGGCAGCTCGTTTTCTCATCGGCTGAACCTCGCAGCGCTTTCCTGGGCACATAGGCTTGGCACACATAGGCACTCCATGTGCACTTCACCCTGCCTACATGGATGCTCAAGCAAGAAGCAAGCGAGAGAAGCTTCCAACACCTGCTGTTGCGAGTGGCTGAGCTTCGTGGACAATAGACTCTTCGAGCTTCTTCAACTGCTCAGCCTTTTTCCTGCTATCTGCCTCCTTGGCACAGGTCTGACGGTCTTGCACTTGGATGGCAAGGTGATGCAGGGTGCCAGATGCTCAGGCCGGGCCACATGCCGATGCGCTCGTTCCACGGTCTTGGCTAGCTGTGCCTGCAACAAATTTGCACAGCATGCACAGCGCAACTTCCAATCAACTCTGATGGCCTTGCCTGCTCCAGGGCCGCGACCGACAGCACATCAGGTTGGCCGTCTGCACCACTGAGATGGCCTGCCAGGCTGGTCGGTCTCAACCGCAAAATGGCAAACAGTCTCTCAGCCTGCCTGCAAGTCCACAATCCACTTCATCGGAAGCGTCCGTGCAGTCGACGAGGCCATCACAAACGTGGCTAGGATGCACACAGCGGGCCGAATGGTCCTCATAAGGAGGCCCACGGAACATAACGTCGCAACCGTAATTTCGATGACACAAGCACACATGCAACTGCAGCTGCACTGAAGCCCGAAAACCTCGCTGAAAGGGTATGCATGGTACGCCCTAACCTAGTTCTCATGCGTAGGTCCCATCCTTGGCACCTGACTCTGCACTTCCTAACACCCAGCGGAATTCGCCTTCTGTCGGCTCACTTCCCACTACTGTGACAAATGCAATAAGAAGATTTGAAGGGAACTCCTACTGCGCCGCAAGGGTGTTCACTGCCAAATCAGCCAAGCCAAGCAACGCATCGAAAGTCTTCCTCCACACCAATTCGTGTGCTGCTCTATTATCATACGCAAACATGCGGCACAGCTCTGGCCGGAGATTCAAAGCCATTGCCGCAATGTGAGGACACCCATGTCTACCACCCATGGTCCGCGTAAAGACAGCACCGCCTCGTGACAGTCCGCTGATGCAGCAGGGAAAGATGCAAAGATCCATCCTGCATGCAGGGGCGCCTCAAGCCAACGACACCTGCGACGTCAAATAGCCTTTCAACCTCCACCTTCAACTTGCCAGGTGACTGGAGGATACTACAGGCTGAAAACAAGGGTATGAAGTCCACAAAACTTTGGGCCTGCAACCGCCCAAAGTCTCACCGCAGGCATGGCTGGCAGGCAACATGCAAGCTCGCAAGTCGGGAGCAAGCCCAAGCTCAAGTTTGATGGCACTTTGGAACTTGGCCCAGAAACCAGTCACGACTAAGCTAAGAAAGCTGACGGCCTCGCTGCATAGTGGAGAGCTTGAGTGGTGAGCTTGTCTTTTGCACTCTACTTCTTCACAACCCCTCAACCCCTTCTAGCTGCTTGATCGACTGCCGGACCCTTGAAGCTGTCATCATTTTTGAAGACTGCGACTTGCTGCGACAAGGCATGGGTGGAGCTTCAAACCGCCAAACAGCTTGCTCCAGAGGCTTCTTGTTGATCGGTGTAAGCAGCAAACGCGGCGAACACCCTGTCCAGCCTTTGCCCTGCGCTGCGCCCGTGATGATTCCGGGAAGGTCAAGAAGCTGAATCTTGCAATCGTTGTAGTTGATGACTCCTTGACGAACAAGACATATCAAAGCATATAGGCGCAACGACATGACGCGGTCACGCATGCAGAAACCTGACAGGCAAACTTTACCCGGAATTGCAAACAGGAATCGTGTTGATACCGGTGCCACCACCAAACTGCTCTGTTACAGCATGGAAAAAACGCACTTCCCACTACTGCCTTCATTTAGGGCGTGTGCCTGGAATGCAAGTCAAGGTTGTGAACTCGTAGGCCGCCGCCTCAACAAATCCGAATGCGCTTGCCACTCATAAGTCTTCGTCATGCTTTCTACTGCCTCCGACTGCACACCCGTCAGCGCGGTAAGGAGAGACGACTTGCCAACCTTAGCCAATCAGCGACTGGGCCAGTACAGCCAGCCCTGAATCCATGGATAACTGCGTGGGTGTTGCATAAAATGTCATTAAGCAGTGCTAGTGCAAGACCTAGGCGGGAAGGTTGGAAACTAGGCTGTCGTGGTTATGCTACTGCGACGCTGCATCGAGCTTCGCGCCGAAGGGAAGCCGATGAGTGCACATCGCGAATCCCCAAATCTTTGCACCTGCTCTGCCATTCCATACAGTGTGCGACTTCGACAGCTTTCACGACAAATTGCAATTTCTCGAAGCCTCGAAACCTTTCGCTTTGCCGCCACCTCCAGCTTTCTCTGGGCTGATGAGCTCCTCTGCGGCGGCACAGTATTTAATCAAGCTAATCCAGGGCCCGGCCAGAGACAAGTAGGGCCAGCACCACTATGCACCACTAGCAGATTCTGGGAGTTTGAACATGCAAGATGTGTGCCGTCAAGAGGTGACCAAAACTGCCATGCAGCGAAGTGCAGCATAGCGTAACAAACAATTATGCTGCTGACCACAATCTTAAAGATCTCTACTTGCAGAATGCAAGTCTTGCACAATCCTCCTTGGCCGAGCAACCGGAGAAGAAACAAACAAAACGCCATCCTTCCCTGCACAAGTGATTATGCCCCGACGTAAACGCGTGTAATTCGTGTAATTGTGGCCTGCCGGACAAGCTGGGGCGGTGATGTTTTTAAATATGCAGTGAGTGTTCAAGAACAGCCATATCCACACTTGGCAAGCTGCCCTTCTCGCGGCACACAACTTGGCTTTGAGATCCTCAGCTGAAGGCCGACATCGGCAGTAGCACGCGTCATGCAACATGAGTTCGGAGCCCTTGGCCGCACCAAGGCCATGTGTGTCCTCTTTGCAGCCGAAGCTCTCCCAAGTGCTTTGCTGTTGCCTTGTTTTTCTGGGTCCTTCCAACCGACATTGGGACCCACTGCCACACTGCCGAAGCCCAAACTACCCCTGACTTGCTGATCTAGTGTTGGCTGGCGTGAGTACTGCGAACAAGTCAACACCTGCCTTGCGATCTCAAGCTCGAGGGTCGCGATTTTTTCCAAGAGTGCAGGCATGGCTGCGTGATTTCTAAGGATGCTCCCGCGTGTGCTGTTATAAACTATGGCCCGATATGGCCCGTGCTGTCACGAGGTTGTGGCTTTCATGTTGGCGTACTTCTTCCGGCCCGGAAGCACCATAACGGGCAAATTTCCTGTGGGCTGACACTCTAGATTTGGTGTCACAAAAACTGGGGGAAGCTGCGAAGTCTTTGTGGGCTTTGTTCAGAGTGATTCCTCATTGTTCTGTCTAAACATACTGAACGCCCGGGTCCACCATGCAGCTGCGACATTTCTCAGCTCACTCAGCTTATCGCAGCACAAAACTGCAACTTGATCCAAACACATGTCAACGCATCCAAATCCAGCAAGCCATCCTCCCTGACCCAGCATGCAAGTTCCAGGGAGCCCAAGCCCAGCAAGCATACCGGCACGGCAAGGGCACGAAGACGAAGGCAAGGCAGCTGCAAGGGCAACATCGGTGATGCCGAATGGCAGTCACACAAACCAGCACCCCCGTTCGGACAAGGCTCTTCAAGCAAAGTCCCACGCTCGCCCAATTTTCAATTGCTACGTCAAACAGCCAATGCAGGTCCTCCGATTCGCTTGCAAGTGTTTTTAGAAAAGTTCAGCACTTACATTGTCTGCCAGGTGCACTGGCATGAGCAGGGCATGTGAAGCCACCAAACGCACATCAAAGCAGCACACATCCATACACATCCTTACACCCGTGTACCGCGCCCCTCTTTTCACACTCTCCGCACAGCCTGTCCCCGAGTCCAGTCTAGCCGCCCACGAAACAGCCTCAGGGAACCCCATGGAATATTCCAGCATGTTCTCACATGTTCTCTCCACTCTTTTCATCTCTTCTCGTCTCCTCTCGCAGCTCTCGAAAGCTCAGCTCTCCTGAACAGAATTCGTGATGGGAAATCAGCCAAGTTGCTCAGCCGAAGAGATCGAAGTCCATCTCCTCCTCCTCTTCCTCCTCAACCACGGCCTGCACAGCAAGCTTCTCTCTCTTGTACAGCGGCTTTTTTGCTCTTGCTTTCTGAAGTCTCAACCTGTCTCAACCTGTCTCAGTCGGTCCTTCTTCTCCTCCTTCTTGGCCTCCGCTGCCGCAGGCGCAGGGCCGGAGGCAGCCACAGGGTTGGCTGCGGCATAGGCGTCGGGGTCCGCCAGGAACTGTTTCACCTCCTCAACCTGGAAATGTGGGTGAATAGATGGTGTAAGCACTGTGTGGGCCTTCCGGCCAGCGACTCTGCCTCCTTGAAAGTGAAGTCGATGTCAGCAATCAGGGATGCAACGTTGCGGAATGCGTTGCCGAATGCATGGGGCAAACCTGCTTCCGTGGGAATGCCAACCTGCCAAATGCGATAGAACCAGAGAAACCGTGCCATTCAGCGAGATGTTTCGGGAGCGCACCTCTCGGCTGAAGGCTGCCATGTTTGCAACACCTGCAAGGAACCTGCAGCATAGCACAACATGTACTAACCATGCTAACCATACATACAACATACATCGTCACATGTTAAGCTCACCCCTGGAAAGTCTAAAAAAGTAACTCCACCTGTGAAGCTCTCCAGGACACCACGGAAGTTAGGAGGCGCTTACTGCGCTTAGGGTTCAGCAAGTGCTCAGCATTTCGGGAGCATCTGCAAGCAAAAGGCTTGGCGATCAGCTGCTGCTCGGACATGTCCAGCACGGCTGCGCTGAAGACTGCCGCATCCTGGAAAACCTCCAACACCTCAGGGGATATGTGCAGGTTGTGAGCACATATACAGATTTTGGTACACGATGTTCGAACGGAGCTGATCCTTCAGGTGTATGAGAATTTGGGGACAAGTGAACTAGAACACGAGCCTCGATCTTGTACTCAAAAGGTCTGATGCCCAGCTTCCCGAGCAACACCGCGCCGCTTGCAGACACCTGGCTCTCGGTCATGCAGACAGACAAAGCTGCTAGATCACGCTGCAACTCCTTTCAATCCAGCACATGTTCCAACAGCAGCCTCAACTCTGTTCGCTGCTGAGAACTTCAAAGGACCCTAGCTTACCTTCTCACCCATGGCCAAGATTTTGAAATCCGAGACAAGCTCGATCTGTCCCTTGACGATCTTGGTACCGATGTTCAGCGCCTGCAGCAAAAGGTGCCACACAAACGTGACACAGAAACACAAAGTTTCCAAAACACCTTTCCGTAGCACGGTCAAAACAATGTCCAACAACCGTCGCTCACTCCGAAGCAAACGGGCGCCTGGAAGAAGGCCGTCTGGGAAGGGTCCATGCCAGTGGGTCCCGAAGGGATGAACCAGTCAACGATGGAAGTCCTCGGCTGTCGAAGTGCGAAGTGGTGCGCGGGGCACCCGGGCAAAACTGGAGGGCAGCCCTGGCTTCTTGTGATTGTTCTGATTGTTCTCATCCAAGCGACTGGCCTGCCTTGGCGGCTGACTGGCGCGTGTGCTTCGCAAGACACTCGCGGATATCGTCCAAGGTGCAGTTCCTCGTGGTCAGTTTTTGAAAGAACGAACAGAGTGGACAGCCATGCCAGTGGGTACAAGGAACAGTGCGGATCATGCGTGACGATGCGGAGCAAGAGGCGTTGCGAAGATGAAGCCCCTGTTTCCTTGGATGGCAGCACGCAGCTTGTCCAGGCCAGCCTGGAATCAAGGTGTGCTCTTCTGTACAAATGGGCACTTTGAAGAAACACTTTGTCGTGATTACAAAGAAGATGCACTACAGGATAGCTCAGAGGCGACCGGGTCCTGAAGATTCCGGACGAGGCGTCCATTTGGCGTTCATTTTCCCGCCCCCTCCCCCCCCCCCTTGCCTCTGGGTGCTGCTCATGGCCGATCTCCAGGGCTTTGCGGATCATCGTATTTTTGCCTGAGCCCCACAGCTGACATCTCTTCCAACCCAGGCCCATACGCAGCATGCGACGTGGAGCAACAAAAATCCGAGCCACCCATGAGGACAATGGCACGGCCCCGGAGATCCATTCGGATGTCCTGCATCTGCTTGGAAGCCACATGGTCCACACCTGAAATTCAATACGAATCGATCAACGAATTCATTGTCCATGTTCTGGGCCCCACGCCAACAAGAAGAGCATTGGGAGAGTTTACACACAGGTCGATGAGCTTGTTGAAGTACCTGGGTCTACGATCTGCCAAACTTCCGATCAACCAAGGTCCGGTCGTGGACCATGACTCTTGGGAACATACTTGCTCTTCTTCGCAAGCTTCTCCTTGTTCGGCATTTTGCACAAGATTGGGCGAACTGGTTCCGCAGCGCGCGGGCTTCAGGCTGTCGATGAGCCAAATCCGCTGCGTCCAGGTCGATGAAAATATGTGAAAATCTATCTAACTTCTTGGCAACGAGGTAAACCCTAAGCCCTAAGCGCCGTTCGTTCATACGTATCGTGATTCTCTCACTCAAACACTTTTCTTCATGAATTGTGGGCCAACTGGAATTACTATATTTTCAGGGCCACGTGGCTCGCGTTTGATGCCTCACATGTCAATGGCGTGACCAACACACGGCTATCAGCCGTAGCTTTACGTGCCATGGCGACGGACGATGCGACGGCAGGGCGATCCGCCGGCCGTCCGTCGCCGGCACGTCAAGGTTGAGGTGCCGGAGAGCGACGCTGGTGGCCACCCGCGCGCCGGCCTCACGGCAGATGCGAGCAGCAGCCCGCTCCAGTGGCCCCCCCGCTCTATGCGCGAGCACCCCAACCTGTGCGCAGGCGGAAGGGTGGTCCCCGAGCTCATCGAGGGTTCCGCCGCAGCGGCATCGGTGTGGGGCGAGCGGCAACGCCAGTCGCAACCGCCGAAGCAGGAAGATGCGGAACTCCCCATTGTCGACGACGAAGTCCTGGCAGCTCGGGATGGCGGTGATCGCGCAGCTGGCACTTTCGCCGCTTTTGGACAGCAGCAGCGCCCGGGATAAATTTTGCGTGAAACGCCGGACCCAACGGCTGCCATGGCTTACATCACAGAGCTTGAGGATGAGGCGGTTTCCTTTGGCGATTTGTCGTCAAACTTGTCCGTAGACATGATCAAAACACATGCAATTTTTTTCGCAGCGGTGGTTGCAGCATGTCGAAAGTGTAAAAAAAGGCCGAAGATCCTCAAGCGAATACCATCTCGTGCAAAGTTTGGTTATGGTCGTCCGCATCGTTGATCAGCGGCACTTGCATGAGTCAACGCAATTAGCCACGGAGGCTAACACCAAGATCCATCTTGTTAAGCGCTGTCGATGCAGGTCCTGCAAGCTTGCACGGGGATGCAAGCGACACGGACTTGAACGACTTCTTCGCCAGCATGTTCCGGGAGTTCCGCATGACCCTACGTGGGACGGAATTCGCTGGACTTTCGGCTCTTGGCCACACAGTCGCAACCTGCGGATCAACATTGCTTGGCTCCTTGGCTCACTTTCCAACGGCCCCCACTTTCGAAGTGTGCTTGCAAACGAAGATGTGCCACGTGCCTGCATCCCGCAAGAACATTTTTGTTTGTTTCATCACGCCTTCTTACGTCAGCAGTTTCGACGGTCAGCGCAGCGGCAGGCGGCTGGCTCCTTCCGCATCAGCAAAAGCCAGGATCTCATCAAGCTCCGGCGCCGCGGTCAACGCGGGCCCCGGCAGGGCCCGCGCGCGTCCCAGGGCCGTGTGGCCGACCGCCTGCTGCACGGAGACGGAGAGCACGCTCCACCAGCGACGGGCCCATGCTGTTCGCGCAGGGGCCCTCACGCCTGGTGGGGCGCGGTGCGCGCGGAGGGCGACCAGGCGCCGAACCAGCATCTTCGTGCCACCGCCCTCCCACCTCGCAACCGAGGACGCATAGGCTTTGCGCGCCACCGGCCACCAGTTCGGGGTAGGTGGCGTGCTTGCGCCGTGCGGCGGCCCTCAGGACAGCCCCATCCGCCGCCGCTGCGCCAGGGTGGGGCGCGCCGTCGCGGTTCAAAGGCGAAACGAGGGTCGCGTCGCAGCAAAGGGCTCCGCCCAGCGGCGTAGCCCCG